AATTTCCATGCTTGGGGCATACACTGGGAAGACTCCACACTCTTTTATTCTCTCTTGAGTGAAATCTTTACTAATATACATGCCATAGAAATGAAATTCAAATTTCAATTGTACGTTGTTGGAAAGATCGTCCAGTTTAAAATAATAAAATAAAATGTGATCTGAACTTAAACTTTCGTATACTGGGTCATCGTGGACGCAGACCGTTTTGTCATCTTGATAGACAGAAAACGAAGCCCAACCATCGTGTGACCCCTTGTAAAGAATGACGAAAGAAATGAAACCACACAAGTTAGACGGTGAGAGGTAAGGAATAGTTATTGAATTCCCTGCCTTTTGAAACTCATACTTGTCAATCACATGGTCTCCTGGGAACATGAAAAACGTACCGAAGTTAAGGCTCAGTGAGTGACTCAACATGTGTTGTAATGCTATCCGTTGAGTGAAATCTGTCCCTAGAAGAGTGCAGTTAATGGCTTTCACATATGTCACAGATGGTGGAAGCTGTGGTAGAGACACGAGTTTCCTACAATCAACTAACTTAAGCATTTGCAGTGATGGTGGAAGTTGTGGCAGAGACACGAGTTCCCTACAATCAACTAACTTAAGCATTTGCAGTGATGGTGGAAGTTGTGGCAGAGACACGAGTTCCCTTAAATCCTTTAAACGTAGCACAGCCAATGATGGTGGAAGTTGTGGCAGAGACACAAGGTTTTGACAATTTATCAGGTAAAGTACTTTCAGCAGTGAAAGGTTTTGGATGTTTTCAATCAAGCTCACATCATTAATTCCACTTAACCATAAATCTTCTAAAGACGATAAGTTGCCAAAGTTGTGGTGGGTATGGCATGCATTGTGCTTCACACACTCAGAATGGTTCAGTGTTGTAATCGACCCCATTCCTGCTTCATCTGATAACTTTTCAAAATTGTTTGAGACTGTTAGAATAAGTTCACTAAGTTTCCTATTATGCCAAATTGATGACGGCAATGCACTTAGAGTGGTTTTCAATACGCTCAAAGTAGTCATTTCCTTCGATGTAATTGAGAATTCCTTGAGATGAGATGAACAATCAAAGATGCTAAGTTTACAAAGAGATTTTGAATGAACTTTAAGGATATCAATTTTTGAACATCGAATTAACTCCAACTCTGTTAGCTTAGGGAGAGACGTGATGGACGGATGGAGCTCACGCAAACTTATACAATCAATAAGAGAAATACGTTCAAGTTTTCTTGCCATAGATAAGTCCGGAATCTCAACCAGCCCTGGAAAGTCATATAAGAGAATTGTCCTTTTCTGTGTCCTCTATGCATCTTTCTCATCACGTGTAGCTAGCTATTCTACGCTTGCTATTACTAGGCGCCTCTCAGGTATGATTCTTACCTTTTATCTTTTTCTCTTTGTGTGTGATTGTTGTTATTTTTATCTCTACCATTCCATGAGGCCTGTAAATTATGTGATGTTGTGCGTTGAGTGTGTGGGTTATGGGGTTCACAAGTGTACGTGTGTGTGTGTGTACGATTATAGGTCTATGGCTATATGGGTTATATGGGCTATGGGTTAATTGCGATTATGGGTTATGGGTTCCATTTGGGTATGTGAGAGGGTTTAGAGTAGGTGCGTGAAGAAAAATTCGAATTGGGACCTCAAAACTATTTTCACAAATTTCAAGCATTTTTGCAATTCATGTATCACTAATTATTTTCGACCGTTTATGTACATCACAGTAAATTCAACATCTTGTATTATGGTGTGAGGGGCCCTTCCTTCTGAGGAGCACGAAAGAGGTGAATTGTTTTTGTGTCATTATACTTTTACTAATTACCATGCTCGGAATATATGAATACTACCTCACAGTTACACCTTCCTTTTCTAGATTTCACATCAATTCGAACCTTTTCTTGTACAATTCAAATTCCCCATTTATTACTGTGTTAGCTTTCATGAGGAAAATAACGTATGTTCATTATTCACCTGGAGAAAGAGGCGTGAGCACACGTGGATGTGGAGAGAACTAATATTGTGACAGATGGAAGTTTGATTTGGATTTTGCTGCTTACATAATCTGTCAAATATGAGACACCTGCACTTCCTTATTATACATTATAAACCAAACACAATAGGATACTTATTCAATGCCATGGAACTTCCAGTACTAAATTTCAAACCCAACATTTTCCTGCAATTCACTTCTCATCATTTTAGAAACACAATCCATCTACCAATACTTTAATACTTCGATTGTTTGATGTATCTAGTAATATGAAAGAAAAAAATTGTCTTCATTTAAATTAATTATGTTAGGAATGTAACAATTTGGCACATATATGAATGAATGAAGAAGGTACAATGATCAAGTTTATATCTTGTTGTGTCAAAAGGTACAAAGACAGAATTGAATGCTCAATCAAACTAGGCCTAGGGACTATTTCTAACACTAGAATGGTGTAGACAATGTAGTGATTTACTTTAATATGTTACAGGTTTGGTGGTTAGACTTTGTTTGAATTTCTAATATAACATTAATTCTTTAGTGATGGCATTTGAGTGAGAAAGACAAATTGATAGACACTACTAGAAAATTATTGTTTTACATCGCTACATTTACATCGGTTCTCGAAGAAACGATGTAAAAATTATATGCGGTGGCAAACTTGTAAAATAGTAGAAACTGTAAGCACATTTACATCGGTTCTTCACAAGTAATGGGATTTTTATCTTTAGAACTAGCAAAGTGCACAGACTCAGCCTGAATTGTAGCCCCACTGTTTTGTACTCTACTTTTGTCATCTTCTATCTTTGAATAGAAATAATAGTTGTTAATGTCATACCCACCAACTGTAATGACATCGTTGTTAGGCCCACGAGCAAGTCTCAAAAGTGTATCAGAAGCATCAACCTCACCATAAACCTTTTTCTTAAATCAAGCTAAGAAACTATTGTTATGTTCATTCAATATCCACTTTTCATTCATTCGAGGGTGTGCTACCTTTATTTCGTGTATGTGTTGCAATATGTAAGGAATGACTTCACCAGTGTTGTTCAATATGTACAAATGTGCTTGGTCAACTTCTATTTGACTCATATTTCAAATCTTTAAACTTCAAGTACCCTTACCAAAATGTTTTCCATCATGTCGAGTCTTAGGAATTCCTACTGGTTCTGATTTTGACATGTACCCTGAATAAAACTCAATGGCTTCTTTTGCAATGTACCTCTCCATAATAGAAGCTTCTGGCCGGTACTTATTCTTGACATATCCTTTTAAGATCTCTATGTATCTCTCAACAGGTAAGATAAACTGGGCCACACAATCGAATCTCCCTAACCAAATAAAGTATCAAATGCACCATGATATCAAAAAATGATGGTGGAAAATACATTTCCAACTGACATAAGATTGTGATTGCTTCATTTTCCAACTCATCTAACTTTTGAGGGTCAATTACTTTCTTGCAAATGACATTAAAGAATAAACACAATTGAGTAATAGCGACTTTAATAGAAGCTAGTAAAATATTATAAATAGCCATAGGCAAAAGTTGTTGCATTAAGACATGACAATCGTGAGACTTTAAACCAACTAACTTCAAATCTTGCATAGACATTAGACTCTTAACATTTGAGGAGTACCCTTGAGAAACTTTCACACCACGTAAACATTCACAATAGCTTTTCTTTTCTTTTCTTGATAGAGCATGACAAGCTGGAGGCAAATAAGTGCATTTTCCAAAAGACTGTGGATGTAACTCGGAACGTATATCCATGTCCACCAAATCTTGTCTTGTTTTCACTCCATCTTTTGTCTTTCCTTTTTATGTTTAGCAATGTCCCAATTACACCATTGCAAATATTTTTCTCCACATGCATCACATTTATACAGTGTCTAACATCTAGCTTGCACCAATAAGGAAGATTAAAGAATATTGACCGTTTCTTCTAGATATTTTTCTCAGTTGACTTCTTATTTGTCTTTTCAAAAACAATGTTAATATTTCTCATCTGCTCATATACTTGTTCACCATTGTGTGGTGTCGATACAACTTCATCTTCCTGACATCCATTGAATGTTTTCTTCAATCTACGGTATGGATGACTACGAACTAGAAACTTGCGATGCCTAGTGTATGCAATCTTTTGCCCATGTTTCAATTGGGTATAACTTGTATTTTCTTCACATATAGGGCATGCATAATGACCCTTCACACTATAATTGCTCAAGTTACCATATGTTGAAAAATCATTTATTGTGCAAAATATCATTACACGCAAAGTAAATTTTTCTTCACGGTATGCATCAAAGACCCCCACTCCTGTTTCCCACAACATTTTCAAGTCATCAATCAAGAGACTAAGATACACATCTATGTCATTTCCTGGTTGTCGGGGTCCTGAAATCATCATAGACAACATATTATACTTTCTCTTCATGCATAACTAATGAGGCAAATTGTAAATGACCAACAAAACTGACCATAAACTATGTTTACTACTTAAGTTCCCATCAGGATTCATGTCATCTATAGCTAGTCCAATTCTCAAGTTTTTGACTCTGCACCAAATTCTGGAAATGTTCATCAATCCTTTTTCATTGTGGAGAATCAACTGGATGTCGAAGAAGTTTGTCACATTTTCTACCATTTGCATGCCATGTGATGTTTTTTACACCCTCTTTAATGACAAACAATCTTTTAAACTTAGTTATTATTGGCAAGTACCATAACACCTTAGTAGGGGGACCCTGTATTTCTTCCTCACCACTACTTTTATCAGCTTTCTTTTTGAACACCTGTCATGGTCGCAGTGGGTATTAGGAGAAGGAGACCAAAACCCTCTGTCTCTCTTTGTTCTTCTCTCTGGTCTCTACGCTCGCCCTTAGCCCCTTCCCTGCAGGTAGGGTGATAGAAAATGGAAAGTATGATATCAGAAAAGGAGCGAGTGATAATGGAAGAGCTTGTTAAGGGCCATGAAGCTGCTACCCAACTCAAGGATCTTTTAGAAAACCCCATTGGCACTGAAGACTCTCTCTCACTCTCACCAGAGAAACTCTTGGCGAATGTGCTCTCATCTTTCTCACAAACTATTTCTATCATTAACGCCTCTTCTTTCCAACTACCTCCTCCTCCTCCTCTCTTGCACTTCATGTTCTCGAATCCACCAGTTATTCAACCAACCACCTCCTTCTCCTCTTGCTCTTGCACCTCATGTTCTCGGTTCCACACTAGTTATTCAACGTATGGAGATGACAGTGTAAATTGGAACAAATCCCAACAAGGTCAAAGCGATGAAAGAGATAGCCACAGTATAAGGTTATGTGTTCTGTTTCTCATCAATCTATGTCTGCTTTAATTCTACAAACCCATATTTCCTTGCCGATCAATTGAACGGATGTATAATTAATGGACAAAATTTTTCTGTATGTAATTTTTTTCACATATGCGTTTTTATTATCTAGCTAGCCAGATGTTATGTATATATAAATTCCTAAATTGTTGTTCCACAGGAAGGGGAAGGGTGAACCGACATGGGCTGCATTCTCAAACACCACTGAAGACGGTTCTCTATGGAGGAAGTATAGACACAAAATTCCTATTGCAAAGGCGTTCCTTTGGCTTTAAAAGTTATAGGTGCAAGTCTTCGTCGAAGAAGTGAAGAGGTTTGGGAAAGTGAATTGAGAAAGCTCCAAAAGATCCCAAATATGCAAATTCATGACATTTTAAAATTGAGTTATGATGGCTTAGATCGTTCTCAAAAAAACATCTTTTTAGACATTGCCTGCTTACTGAAAGGAGAAAACAAGAATTTTGTAACAAGTCTACTAGAAGCTTGTGGTTTCTTTGCAGTTTCTGGAATCGAAGTCCTTTTGGACAAAGCTCTTATAACAATTTCAAATTACAATTTGATAGAAATGCATGACTTGATACAACAAATGGGTCAAGAAATTGTTCAACATCGAATTAACTCCAACTCTGTTAGCTTAGGGAGAGACGTGATGGACGGATGGAGCTCACGCAAACTTATACAATCAATAAGAGAAATACGTTCAAGTTTTCTTGCCATAGATAAGTCCGGAATCTCAACCAGCCCTGGAAAGTCATATAAGAGAATTGTCTTTAAATTCGAAAGATCCTGTAACAAGAAAGATGCATCACAATGTTAAGAAAAATTTTAAATTGATAATCATGAGCCTTAACTAAAAGAGAAACCTAACTAGTTACCATTCAAGGCTCACTTGTACCTTTAAAAACTTAGAGAAAAATAATGTAGCAAGTATAGCCACATTCCTACCTGAACCCCATCCCAAAGCCTTTTAACCTTGCTCAAAGACAAGTCAAGCTCTACAAGTTGTTCAGCACAAAAGTTAGACGGCAAAGACTCGAGACAAAATCCTTAGAAATTGATAAGTTGAGTTAAAGGTGACATGAATTTGAGTTTTGTTCTTGAATATTCAGCTCCATGATTGTATCACATAAACTTCCGTGCATCATATTTCTAACCATGATTAAAAGCATTTTCTTTTATGATTTTAACAAAATTAGTAATCAGTTTTTTTTCTTGTCTTTTTTCTATGCTACTTGTATGATGTTCTTAAAACAAAAAATTTGGATTAAACATAAGCTTTTTTTTTTTTTAAAAAGATATACATGTACTATGGTGGTGGCTAAGGTGAACCATAAGAAACCTTTACAACTAACATAGGAATATACTGTTTTAACATATTTTATAGATAGATTAGAGATTTATAAGGTTCTTTTATTTTATTGGACAAACAAATGGTAGTATTAGAATTATTAGTCTATTTTATATATGCAAATGGATTGATACCCAAACAAATTTTATGTTTTGTAATTGAGCCTATGTTGAGCTTTTATATATGTGTGTTTTTATAATTGACTTGTCTCCAAGTTAGCCTAACTCAAATTAGGCTATGAACAACTTAGACTTAAATATTAAATAAGTCATCAAGTCAAGATTTTATTCCTTCATCTGCTAAATATGTTTAATTTGTGGTTTTACTTTATAGATGGATCAAACTTTCTTGCTAACCACCCTGAGTTGGTGCTTTCTTGTTTGAGGTTGTGTTTTGTTGCCATATTTCACATTTTTCATTTATATACTTCCTTTGAATTTAAATATAAATAATAAAACATTAGACTGAAATAGAATTTGAATCCTTTTATCCTTATTATTAACTTAAATGTGAATAGGAAAATAAGAAAGCAAGTTCTATTATCCGAACAATGGTACAACATGCCAAACTATAAAAATCTAAAATTTTAATTATGAAAAGCTTAGTGTCTTTGGTGTCTAAGAGAGGATGTGTACTCTGTTACAGCAAGGATTTACCTATTTTTAAATAAAAACTGGTACTGCATATCAAACTATAAAATTCTAAAATTTTAATTATGAAAAGCTTAGTGTCTTAGAATTCTTAACAAAATTAACCCCATGCTATTTGGAGATCTAAAGCTCAAGTTATGCAATAGTTACTAGTTGGTGTCCAACATTGAATGACCAAGCTTTGGATAATATAATGGAGAATGCTATAAGCAATGACAATAGTGTAGCACCTCCTTCTTTTGCCTCAACACACTACATAACTTGAGCTCTAGGTCTCCAAAAAGCATGGGGTTAATTTTGTTAGAAACCTAAGATACTAAACTTTTCATAATTAAAATTTTAGAATTTTAGATTTTGACATGCAGTACCAGATTTTATTTTAAAACTGGTCAATTCTTGCTGTAATAGATTACACATCTTCTCTAAGACACCAAATAGTATCTACTGCATAACTTGATCTTTAGATCTCCAAATAGCAAGGGGTTAATTTTGTTAGAAAGCTAAGACACTAAGATTTTCATAATTATAATTTTAGAATTTTATAATTTGACATGCAGTAGCAGTTTTTATTTTAAAACAGGTCAATCCTTGCTGTAACAGAGTACACATCCCCTCTTAGACACCAAACAGTAATTACTGCATAACTTGAGGTATTATTTTGTTATTGGTATTGTATTTTGCATATATGGTGTTTATATTGGATACCAGTTACTAGTTGTAATATAAACTCTAATTCTAATGTATGTTATTTAACTTTCCGCAATGTAGTAGTTGTGCAGTAGTCAATGTAGTAACCTGCTAGGTTGTAATTACATAATTTATGCACAAGGTGGGTGGGAAATTGTTTATCAATCACTAGTACAAAAGGGGTAATTTATGTCTATTATTTTAAGCTTTTTACGTTAGAAAAAAGTTTGACGTTAATGCAGGAGACGTAAATTTACGTCAGTTGTGATAGCCGACATAAATTTACGTCGGACATTACCAAGACCTTACGTAAAAAAGTTTGAAAAAAAACATAAAGAGTGCAAGCAGAACGGACCGTTCTGCTTGGAGAATGGGCCTTTCTGATTGGAGAACGGGTCATCCTGCTTGGAGAACGACCCGTTCTGCTTGGAGAACGGCCCGTTCCACATGATATTAACTAATATATTAACAAAGGATGATCTACCTAAACGCGAAGAAGAGGATAATATTAACTAATATATACATACATTTATTTTCAACAAATTAGCTAATATATTAAGAAAGGATTTGTCAAACTAACCTCAAACGTGAGCTCAATGAAATCGGTCAAAAACTCAAGAATCACCCAAACGCCCAAACGTACACTCAGATGCAATATACTCAAACGAAATATTGACTCAAAAGATTCGTTTTGCACATACACTCAAGATATGTATAATTCAAAGCTCTTAGGGCGCGAGGGATATGGAATTGTTAGCTTGTGCATGGAACTTATTGAAATGTGATGCAATTAATTTGATTGCTAGAGTAGAGTGGATGGTAAAAGAATTTGGCCTTTTTTGTTAGCAAACTGATATTTACAAGTTTAACATCTTATCAGGAACATAAATAACAGTGTTAATCTGGTTCTTGCTATCTGTTCACAAGCTTCAGGATTATCTGTTTCTATTTGTTTAATTACTTCTTTTATCTACAATTCCTTCACTTTTGACATTGTCCGGACACATTTCACTACAAGAAAAATTATTATTATCTACGGAATATTATCTTTGGAAATTTTTCCGTAGATAACATTTAATTATCTACGGAATATTATCTACGGAATATTTTCCGTAGATAATATTTAATTTTCTACGGAATATTATCTACGGAATTTTTTCCATAGATAATTTCCAGTTATCTACGGAAATATCCGTAGATAAGTTATCTACGGAAACTACGGAAAAAATTCCGTAGATAAATTCCGTAAGTAAAACATATTTTTATTATCTTTTTATTTTTATTTATTATAAAATAATTAAAA